GCGGCTGGCAGAAGTTAAGGCCTGACTTCTGCTCCCAGTCGATCCAGTCGACCCGGGTTCAAATCCGCCTGCCAGCTCCTCGGGTGTTTGAGGAGTGATGAAATGGGAGGTGGCCCCCCATCATATGGACGGTGTAGGACGTGATAATATCAACTTGCGAGCTGACCAGGAACTAAGTTGATGCGCCGTTGATCCGCTAGATTTGGTTGGATGCTGGTGGTGAGTTGCCGAACCCAACGAATACATTCTGAAGTCGGATGGGGTGACGGATTAGGGTGCCCCTCTAGCAGGGGAGAGCAGGGACTGCCCCGGGAAAGGGGGCCGCTGGCGAAGTTAACCACCCTGTAACAACATACATACATACATACATACATATATATATGTATACACACGGGACCTGCTAGCCCTCAGACCTTGAGCTGTCCGCGCGTCTTGCCAATGAACAGGTCCTTGCCCTTAACGGTAGCCGGCAAGCAACCCGTGAACACGTTACCTCCCATTCGACACACGCCATCGTTGCGGCCCAACGTCACCACCATCACCTCCATGCCCATGTTGACCGTCCAGGTGCCCAGCTTAGGGCTCCTGGCATTGCCTCCCCCTCCGCTGCTTGCCGCCCTAATCAGTGCCTGCATAAAAGTGAGCGTGGGCGCGGGAACGTGTTGTTGTGAGTGTGTGAGAACATGCTGGAGGACGGGGTGCCTGTGCAATGGGAAAAACGGGAAACCCAAAAAAGGGCGAAACGCAATGACGAGATCTAACGAAGGCTCTAGAGGACATTAATGGAGGACAGCGGATTGCAAGCAGGTAAGGTAGGGTAACGTAGATTAAGTGAAAGGTAAAGGATGGGCGACGGAGGGAGGGGGGTGGATTAGGTAAAGGAGGGTAGGGTAGGGGCGTAGAGGCGGGTCTCAAGAATAAGAAGGAAGAGCACCGGGGCCGGCACACACAGCCACTGTATTCGCGGGTGCAGGCGGCGGCGTGCAGTTGTCCAACACGCACCTTGATGCTTTGCGCCGCTAGCTCTGCTTGCTTCATGGCCAGAAAGCCCTTCTTCTCCTCAGGCACGTTGTTGCAGTCGCCCAGAGCAAACATATGCGGCTGGCCCTCGACTTGAAGGGTAGGGAGGACCTGGGGTAACAATGTACGACATCGGGGGGTTGACACCACCGCCGCCGCAGCAGAGAGGTTGCCGTCGAGGGGGGGGAGTGGACAGGGGGTGGGCAGCAGGTGATGAGAGGCGCAGTGGGAGCGATAATTAGGAGGTCGGTCTCTATCGGCACATGTAGCGACGGTACCGGCACTTGCATACATGAGGACGTTGCCTCCATACACACACACACACACACAGCCGTGCGGCCCCCTCAAGGCCATCTCCTCCTTGCGCCTTAAGCGACTTCATCTATTATAGCACAGCCTGCTGCTGCCCGCGGCGACGCAGATTATCAATATGCACATTTAGTCAAAGAGCAAGCCGAACAGACGGATAGACATACAGACAGGTAAACAGACAGACAGACAGGCGGACAGAGGTAACGAGGCTCAGCAGCCACAGAGCCCAAGTCCCTCCAACTGCCTACGCCCACCTTGATTAGTCCCTTGCCATCACGTACACCAGCGGCCGTCAATTCCTCCCCGAGAAAAGCCGTGTTAGGTTTGGCTCCCGTACACCACAGCACCAGATCAGCAGCCAGGCTTGTGCCATCGCTTAGAGTCAGTTGGGTCGGTTGGGCAGTTGGTCCCACGGGCGGTTTGGACTGTACGGAAGCTCCAAGCAGGACCTATAGGGTCCGGTGGGAAGAGATACGGAATGGGAGAGGGAGGGGGAGGGGGGAGGGTGGGCGCTGGGTGGTGGACGTTTTCGCAACTCGCCCACACTACGCCTCTAAGAAGCGACCAAGCTGATCAAGCTACTTGATTTA